AGTTGTAACATATACACTCCTCTTCAAAACAACACTTGGTTCACTCGGATCGGATAATTAGTCTCTGAGATATGATCCCGTTTATGGACACGTGTCGAATCCGGAAAGTCGAAAATCGTGGGTTCAATTTGCGCGTGCGCAGTTCGCGACGTCCGACCGCCACGAATGTCGGAGCGGTACTGGCACAAACGATCATCCTTCCTCTTTAAAACGAGACTAAGATGGCGGCGCTATGTCTATTTCTAGCCGAGTTCTTGAAGTTTGAAATTACTTCGACAGAAACTGACGCTCATTTGGGCGCGATTGCCTCCCCACACCCGGCATTGATTTTAAAGACGATTTCACGTCAAAATAGGTGACAATGTAATTCAATTTATAATAAATTGCCCCTACATATACTTCCATCCACGCACTGCACTCAAAATATAGAACCATATGGAGGAGACTTATTGTGAAAGCCGAAACCCGAAAAGGACTGTAGCGCAACTGATGATGATGATGACCTGACAGCCATGCGCAGTTGTCCTTGCCCCCACCCTGCTACCTTTTCCATCCACCCTTTGGGACTGTGTTGCCCTGCAACTTTGAAGACCGCTTTTGTGCAGGGTTTTGCCCCACGTACATCTTAGAAATTCTAGTTTGGTTTTTTTCATCTAAATTTGGTTTAGCTTTGAGGTGTTAGCCCTGTGCAGGTGGTCCGCCGGTGGGGACTTCTGCTGCGATAGGTTATATTCCTTTACGAAGCTGTGGCTCTATTGTTCTATACAGCGGATGTCGCTCCTGTGTTTATTTTTATACTGTTTGTTTTGTATCCTCTTGGTTATTTCTAATATATACTACACAAAGGAGGTTCCGTAGTGAAGCGTCGTAGCATTCCTAGGCAATTGAAGAAAAGAGGCCTTCCGTTATGGTAGCTTCTTTTCTCCTCACCAACAGACGTGCTACAGGGGCATGTTTTCAATAACATGTCGCCAATAGATCAACTAACTTATGAATAAGATGGATTAAACTAATATCAAGTAAATAAAATCTTATCGGCCGAGGATTCGGACGATTACAATATGATGTTATACTAACTTACTGTGTGCTATATGTAGGTCATTACATCTGCCTGTTTGTTCAAAAATGAGAGGGTTATTACGTCATGAAGCCTTCCTAAAACCTGCAAAAAACTGAGTATTGTGAGCATGCAAAACTCCAGTTGTCGCCACTATCCAATTAGCGTCATCTGACGTCAGTTTGTCTGTGAACACTTTCACAGAGTAATTCGTCATGTGTTATGTTGGTATTGTCTGTCGTGGCTGTTGGTGGATTGGTATTGGCTGATAGGTTATGTCTGTTCTTGGTGACTTGTTCCCATCGCATGTCGTGCTTTTAGAATTATTTTTATCTGTGAAAAATGAGTACAAAAATGCTTCTAAAAAGGTTACTCGAAGAAGAAGAAGATATGTTGCTGTGTTATTTGTTGCGAAAGAAACAAAGAAAACCTATGAGTTCAATATTCAAAACCAGACGTGAAGAAGGATCTTTCTGTCGGTGGTCAGTGGTCGGTTTTCTGCTACTAATTCTACCAATTGCTCATCTTGGTCACCAGTAAATTTAATTTCTGCCATTATTTTACTCAACAACACACGTGCTGCCTGAGCCCGTCGCGAGACACTACTGGTCCGAGAGCGGTCTCCTGTGCTTTGTCTCTGTCGCCTGTCTTTGTCTCGCGCTCGTAATTGTACTTCATACGATTGTACGGAGAGCAGACAGGAAGCGACCAGTCTCGGTCTCGTAACTCTGTCGCCTGCCTCGGTCGCTTGTCTCTGTCGCGTGCAGCCAAATTGTACCTTAAGATATTAAGAAGAAGAGGGATGTGAATGATGGTTTCTATTCGGCAGAGTGAGTCAACAGGCCCGGGTCAGTCCGTATGGGGTTTGTTGATATATTAGCACTGGAATATTTCTCTCTGAGTCGCAGGGTTACCAGCTGTGAATATTTCACCGGTGCTCAGTATCAGTTAATGTTACAATAATTCGGATTGGGGTTAGTGGACAAGAGGCTCAGCTCTGCAGACATAGCTTAACCCCAATGCAGACAATATTCAGTGTATGATATATAGTCGTTTAAACTATGGAAGTTCTAGATTATTCCAAGTAATGACCTTGAGCAATTTTATTTTAATGCTGTTGACTTTATAAATTCCTGTTTCCAGCTGAGCAGTCTCTTTCCAACATTGTCATGGTGTTTTTCTAGGTTGTAGTATCTTGTAATGTGCTAGAAGTTGCCAATGTTTCAGAGGCCCTTGATTCCACACTGTGTGGTGCTATAACATAGAAGACAGGCATCTTCATATTGACTACTGTGAAGAACTCAAATCCTACTCTTTCCAATACTAATGATGTGGTCAAAACACCGAATGTACGATTCATACTACGGATGGTGGAATAAAAACTGTTGTTTATGGAGAATACCTGGAAATGGCAGTGTGTTCTCTCATAACTGTTCGATCCTGTAACTCATCATTGTTGTACTGAATGTAACACGTCATATGCCCAAAGCCTTAATCAGTGCATCAACAGCTTCATCACTGTTGCCAATTATTGCATGTACAAAGCAAAATATGTTGAGGGATTCAAAGGTAAAAGAACTAGAGCCTGCAAGGAATACATGGTTTTTTACATTGCCTGATATGTTTTAATATGCTGCATAATTGTTTTAAGACATTTAGGATAGATGGTGAAGAATATTGGCAAAAGTGTGCAGAATGAATTTTTTGAAGTGAGAAATGATCTTTAAGGCATAAAATACTGCCAAGTCAGCTTTCTATATGAATTTTATAAAAGTTATAGACTGGTTAGTGGAAGGTGTGTGTTCTTGTGTTCTAGCCCTGAGACAGATGCAGCCATTGCATGTGTTTCTCAATCTTTATTTTAGTCCTTGAATTCATATGTTGAAGAAATAGAATTTTCAAATCAGTGTCTGATTGACGGAACTGCTAATGTGAGAAAGGTGAAGACTATTACAGCCAGCTGGACCTGACGTCAAGACTATGCTGCTATAAAAAGAGAGAAGTATATGTTTACCTATGTTCTAGAGGTGCTTGCAGCCTCCATCATGAGAGCAGTAAGATCCTGATTATGGAGGCAGCAAGTACCTCTGAAGCGTTGGTAAACTTCTCAAAGACTGTATGGCACAGTAACACAGAAGACAGCAATCTTTAAGGGTGGATGAGGTTTTACCTAGAAGTTTCTTTTAGGTAATGATGGTGCATTGGTGCCATTTTGCACAGCCATTTCATGTTATGGGATAAGTGTGTGCATGTAGGGGGAGAGGACCTAAAGAGAGAAAATGAAAGAGTGAAGGCTGCCTAATACAAAATGGGTAAGATGATTTACAGGCATGCACTGATCAAAATTCCAGGTCAAATTTGAATCCTTCTTATAGTTTGGCATACAATTAAGCATAAATTGTGTTCCTATTGATTTTTGTATGCACTATTTTTCCATTTTATATAATTTTTAATGTGTGTTAGAGCACATGAATAGTGAAGAATTTAAATGAAAACTATAGCAACTTTGTAATCATTTTCAAAATAAAGAACCTTCATAGCAATTTGATTATCTGTATATTGCACAATTGATACTGGCTTCTTAACACATATCTTGCATTATCTCGGTAAATCTTCAGTTGCGATGCTGTGACTTGTTTGTGGATGTGCTGTCCAGATCTTTTATAAAGCCTTGAACAAGTAGCTACACAGTACTGCTCTGGGAAATAACCATGCAGTCCCACCTAAAGATACTTTGAAGAAAAAGAATGTTTTTTAGAACTTTATAATGAATAGTTTCAGGCCTCCAGAAATGTTCTTCAGCAGTATGTGCCATTAGTTACAATTACATCTTGGTTACTAATTTAATGCCCAACATGTTAGTCTTTGCACGCCATCATCTGGGGCTCCTTTTATATCTGTGAATGTATTTATGATATTATCTCTTACACTCTTCTTCTTCTATGGCTCTCTGGTCCGTATTCGGTCCATTGCTTCCTCAATTCTCCTCTTCCATTCGGTCCTTTGTTAGGTCCGTCTGTCCGAGGCTTTGATTGAGGTTTCGAAACATCTTCCTTTTTACGGTACAAGGTTGTTAGCCTTGCGACCAACCCCCAACCTGGAGGACCAGGGTACCTGTCTTAGTCTGACCTCTCCCCCTCGACCAATCTGGCTAGGGAGGCCCTACCAGTAGCTATGCTACCGCCAGCATAGCTCTTGGGATCACTGAGGTACTCAAGCCCCACCACCACAACAAGATGCAGGTACCATTAAGTGGGGACTATCTCTAACACACTGTTCTAAAATACTGAAATGCTAAAATTTTATATCAGAAGTTATAATATTCTGCGTTATAAATCCATGGCATGTGATGTTAGGCTTCTGCTGTGTTGTTGTAGCTTGAACTTGTTATATCCACATGTAAAGCTTGAGTATGCCTCGGTCGTCTGGAATAATCTTACACAGACAGATTCTAATAGATTAGAAAATATTCAAAGAAAATTTGCCAGTTTGTGCAATTACCGATTTTTCCAGTTTAATATCCCACGCAAATATGAATTGATCCTATCTACTTTAAATTTTAGAACACTTTATTCCAGACGACAACATCTCGATGCGTTATTTCTTGTTAATGTCTTTAAGGGCAAAATAAATTTCCATTCCATTATGGACGCTGTTGGTTTACGTGTGCCGGCCAGGCAAATAAGAGAATTTTCTACTTTTAGTGTGAGCAGTGCACTAAGACATAGTCCTTCATCCAGGTGCGTCATCGCTGCAAATGACGTATGTAAATTTTTGGACGTATTTGGCATAAACATTCTCCTCCTTGAGTTTTTGCTCTGTGTTAATATTGTTTCTATTTTGGGTTTGCCTGTACTTGGCAGTTATATTTAATACTGTACATGTATAAGTTTAGTTAATCTGTTTGTGTACTATTTTTCATTATTATTTCATTATTATTGTATGTATTATCAGTGTTTGCCTGTTATTCGCTTCTTGCTGTTGGCAAACACGTAAATAAATTAATTGAATTGAATTGAAAGTTCCACTAATATAGTCCTTGTTTCTTATCTTTCTGTACAGAAATCCCTGGGTCATTGCTGCCCAAAGCTGAGGTAAATGGGTATTTCCTGGACAGTATGTCCACCTACACAAAATATGATGAATAGGATGAAAGAAAATCAGGGCATTTATAATAAATTATAACCTTTAAATCATTATGGTGTAACACATAAGGAGTTGCATCTGCTGGGTTAATTTATCGTATTATACAGCATTAAGTGTTTCACTGGCCTGAGTTTGTGAAACTTTATAATTTAACAACTTCCCCAACTGTTAAAGAGTCAGTGAAGTTAGGTTGGATGGCTGAATTTCAAATTTCAGAAGTTACAAGGAGTATTCTTTTCACTGTGGTCAGATTGGCTGAGGTCACAACCAGCCTCCTGTCTCACAGGTGATACCAGGATCTCTATTTTGGTTGATGGTGTATCTGGAAAGTGAAGGTAACCACATCTCCATTCAGTGCCAACATTTGGAATGTGTGGATTACCTCCATGCCCCCCATACGCCATCAAATAATGACAGACATCTTGTTGTTTCTTAATGACCAGGTAATAAAAGTTGTGTTTGAGTGGTCAGTGCTCATGCTTTATATCTGAGTCTCTGGTTCAGATCTTGGTTCAAAGATTGCTTATCCTGAATGTTTTCATGATTTTCCTCAGCTCCTCCATATACATTCTGGGATAGAGCTGTGCAGTAGACCACAACCACTTCCTTTCCAAGTTAGCATTATCAGTCATCCTATCTTCCAATGCAATACAAAAAAATACATTTCAAAACGTGTTGTTAAATAACCCAAGAATAAATAATAAATGTAAGCTGCTCTGAAGACGATTGGATCTAAATGTTCAGACTGAGTATTTCTGAAGGGGAACTAAATATCTTGAAGTTGACATTTGCGCATGCAATAGAGGATTCATTTTAACATTCGTAATTATATCCCTTGCCTGAAAGATTCTAAGGTTGTATGTAGCGCAATGTGAACTAAGTTTTCTGCTTGACCCTATGTGAGTTTTCCAGCAATATTCAAGAATAGTAATAACAAAATACTCGCCTCTGGTTTCCAGGGCATTCCTTGCTGTAAATCTTGAGACTTCAGTCACAGTTCTACTGCTCCTATGAAATGTACTTTAACTTACAAATTTCATCACTTAAGCTGCTGGTCCCTCACTGCTTTGCAGCAGTTATTCCTTGTACTTTACTTTTTTGTGAAAAGTCTCAAAAGACTCCCCAAAACACAGTCCTTTGTTACACTTCCAACAAGACACAGTAGTACGTATGAAGAAGTATGTTTGTAAAGGGATTTTTAAAATATGAGGTGATACTAGTACAATCTGTAGCATCTCATCAAATGAGAAAGATAGCAATGGTGAAACTGTAGGGCTCCAAGTGTTGAGGCTATTTGTTTCAGTATTTACCAAATTAAAATATGTCTCAGATAGACTTAATAGTGCTCACTGAGTAAACAGTTTAAGATTGATAAAAAAAATTAGGTTTAGTTCATACAGGCTAGGTTATCGATTGAGTTTTATTATATTATATTTTTCCAATATTGAAAATTTTATTGTTAGAGAATAAATTTTCTCATTATTTTGAAACAAATCAGTCTATAAATTTTAGGCTTAACTGAAACTGTTTCATCCTTTTGTAACTATAAAGCTTTTTAATATATATATATATATATATATATATAGATATATATATATCTAGTGTGAATGCCTACAGAAGTGACTGTCACATTGTTGGCAGGCATATGGTGCAGACAAGGATCACAAACTGTGGGTAAAAGGTGAGAAGATTTGTAGTGGGATCTCCGCAGTCTTGTGGACTGGGACAATGGATTGCTGAGTGATGCAGACATTCCTGTTAACTTGAATGTGGAGCTGATTGCAGTACTGGGCCAGGAGAATGTTGCTTTGGACCTTGCCTGCATTCTACTTACACCCATTGACAGTCTTAAGGTTGGGCTAGTTTGTGCTTAAAGAAGCATCTGTTCTAAGCCCCATGTTGTTGAAATAGCACCCCACATTTTTCATATACTGGATTGTATGTGGCAGGGTGTGCATAATGCTAAACTCACATTGATGTGTTACACATTCTCTTCAAATGGAGTTGATAACAGAAACAGTTAAATTATGTCCGCATCATAATAAAAAAAATGTCATTACCTTAATTCTAAAATACATAATTGTGGCAGTATAACTGTTACATCTTTTGTGAAGGAACTACCACTTCGAAAATCTACATTAATCAATACATCCCTTAAAATGTTTTAGTCTCTACAAAGATGGCAGCATAACTAAAGATTTATTATAACAAACATTTATTTTATATTAACAATTCTATGTTGATTTTACAACAATTGCCTGCCCCGTAACCACTGTAATGTTGTTTACTCTCCTCTGAGTGCACAAAACAAAAGAGGAACAGTTTGAAATATAGAAGAATGAAGCAGTTACATTGTTTATAACATAACATTTAATGACTTTTGTAGGGTAGTGACATCACAGAGCATGCTCTGGAAGTACTGTCACATAACAGAGTTCATTGCATGAGGCTGATTGGTGGTGAGGTCTGTTGCAAGTTTCATTCACCATTAAAGAGCTATGCGAGATGCCCTTCCAGAATGCAGGATTTCAAGGCTTTTGTTGTCTAGTTCCAAGTGAGTGCATAACCATGGATTTACCCGTAGTGTGCCATAGCAGAGGAGGCTTTTATATGTTGGTTCTGTCACTAGAGCCTGTAAGCTATTGTAGTTTCTGAAACAAGCTATATATATATATATATATACCTTTCTTTACATACATGTTAATCTCATACATTTTTCACTCTCTCAATTTTTATAGAAATAATGTAAATATCTACTATCTTAGATTTTCATGCAATGTGGTAGTGCAGTTGAAACTGAAGTTCACTTCATTTGAAGTTGGCTGTGTAGTCTGGTAGGAGTTTACCAATGTTTCAGAGGTCATTGATACCTTCGTCATGAGTGTGATGATGCAAGATGTAAATAACCTTCAGGAGACCTGGATGGAAACTCAGGACAATTCCACTTGGTTTTCTTTCATTCGCTAAGCTTTCACCCTTCACCAGATAATATTGTATAATTAAATTCTTGTGTTTATCTGTAGTGACAGACATTGTTGTTTTACATAATACTGGCAACTCAAATCAAAACGTTTGTGATGATGGTGCGTTTTTAAAATAAAAAGTTTTCTGGATGTTTTCCATCGTCTAATAAAATCATAAAATTGCACGATGTTTCGGAGATAGGATTCTATCTCCGTCTTCAGGTATCCCTACTCAGTTGGGCCCAATTGATAGAGCTAATCCCTATCTCCGAAATGTCGTGCAATTTTATTATTTTATTAGACGATGGAAAACATCCAGAAAACTTTTTATTTTATAATACTGGCAAGCTGGCTACAGTGATATCTGACTGCTTTCTTTTATCAATGTTTTTCACAGCCTTTTGTAATTGTAGAAAGAGTTGTTAGCTTTCTATCAACCTCCTGAAGGATCTCAACATGAAAATGGCTGTCTTCTGAGTTGTTGTGCTGTAGAATATTACTGATGAGAGGTACTTGTTGTCTCAATCATCAAGGTGATGAGTGATGATGTAGCCCTAATGATGTAGGTGGCAAGTATTTATCAGACTATATGCCTCTACAATAGCCACGGTGGTCTAGCGGTTAGCACGCTGGCCTTGTAATCCTGGGGTCTCGGGTTCGATTCCCGGCGGTGCCCGAATTTATAACTTGTGTTGGGCAAGGCCGTGGTCTAGGCAACACGGAGTTTTCCTCCATGGCATCCCAACAATTACTCCATTCACACACAGAAGAAGGCAATGGCAAACCACTTCTGGATCATCTGCCAAGAACGTATATGAACAGGTCCCAGTCCGAGAAAAGGATGGAAGGATCCTGTTCATATGGACCTGTCGTCAGACAGAACACTAAATAATAATAATAATAATAATAATAATGCCTCTACAAACCAGAAGACCTCAGCATGTCCCTTCCACTAATTAATTGCTTTTAGTGTTTGCTTTTGGGTTGAACTGTTCCTGCTTCCTTTCTGTTGATTCACTTCTCATGTTTTCATAATTATATTTAATCACAATATAAGCCTCAGAATCAGCAACACAATATTCTAGTCACCAAATGAATTTGGTAACATCATTTTGAAACATTTTAGTGACTGTAATTTGGCTAGAAACAGTGGGAACTTGAAGAATTCTGCTATAACAAAGGTTATACTTTACACTCTGAGTTGAGTTATGTTTTTAAGCGAAAATATGCCTTGTTGATTGTTAAAATTTCTTCTTGTGGGTAAGGATGAGGTGAGACGTACAACTTAAATATTATAGGGCTTTACCAATGCAGGCACTACAATGTTGTGCAGAGACATAGGTAGATGCTAAAAGAGAAAGAGATGAACTCTTAAGAGCAGCTGAAGGATGTACAGGCATAGATCAGATTAGAAATGAAGAAATTAGAAAATAATTAAGTACTGATACAATAAATGAAACAAGGCATTCCAGGTGTAATTGTTTAAGTTTACTTTCCTATTGCATATTTCCAGTCCTAAAAGTCTTCTGTTATTGTATTATGTGGGTAATATACTTTTATGATGCAGTGATTTAAATTGTAATTATGTTATAGTTGGAATTCCTAAAAGTGTGGAAGACTTTAGAAATTAGCAGTGATTTTGTGTCTACATGTAGAGAGCCATATGTAATTTAATACATTACATATTCTGTATGCTGATGACTTAATCAATGAAAATTATGATAAGGTGGTTACCACACTTGTATTTTTGTTTATTACAGTAACTGGGATCAAATTGGACGTTTTCCTACATCACTAGCTTGCAGGTCTAAGTAAAATAAATGCATGTACTACATAATCCAAACACTTAGTGAACCAGAATTTGAGACAGCAAGCTACAAAGTACTGCCACCAAGAAATAGTGATTATGGAATGGGCAGTATATGGTTCTTTATCTGCCACCTCTTCCCACTCCTCTAACATCAGATTCCATGTTTGAAGCTTGTGCTGTCATTTGGGCTGGCAAATTGTCATGAGGTTGTCTTCCATTTCCTACAGATGGGTAATTTGCATCATGTCCACAGAAACGATGGTCCTCAACATGGCACTGCACAGAAAGGGAGAGAGAGAAAGTTGTCAGAAACCATAGTTAATGGCTGTTCTTATGATCTGAATGGTTTACCACTGAAACCACAAAAGCCTAAAACTGGATTTTATTCCAAGAATCTGCAATTAGTCCATATCTTCACAACATATAACATCTCAAAGAGCTATGTCAATACTGACCTCACATCCATAACCATTTCTCCCAATTAGTCATTTTACTCAGGTTTTCCAACAAAAAAAATTATTTCCCTTGTGGGTGCTACATGTCCCTTTTGACTGGCATATCTGGTACTTTTACCTGGTTAGGAACTATTGTCCAGATTTAAGGAGATCAATATGTAGAATATCCAGCCATATATATATATATATATATATGTATATATGTACAGCTTCTGAAGGAGGCAGCATGTACACATCATAGTCATCATGAGAGTGAAAGTTGTGGATCATAAAATGTAATCTTCTCTTTCATAGTGGGCATTCTGGTTTCTCCTGGAAGACAATGTTCAAAACTTCAACTGCTTCAATTAATAATAATAATGTGTGTATTTCCCCTCAGGGGCCAAAAAAGTGGGTATGGGAAATGGTGATCCCAGGGTACGTGAGCTACCCAGTGTCTGTAAAACCAGACAACCCTGTCTCTGGGGGATACAAATACGGAGACCTAATCGTGCAGGCTGGGGGTCGGGCGTGGGGCTAACAACACTATCAGGTGAAAAAAAAAAAAACCAAGCCTCGGTCTAGGGCAGAGACGACGAAGACAACCAGGCCTTGCTAAAAACTACTAATTGTCATCGGGGACGAGACTTAAATCCACCAAAACGCTTTGAGAGGCCACCATTTCGTCAGTAACCAAGACCTGAAAGAAGCGGTGCATGCGTGGCTTGCCAATCAAATGAAAAAAAGTCAAATAGCTTGTAAAGCGCTGGACTAAGTGAGTTGAAAAGGACGTTGCCTATATCGAAAAATGATGTTTTTATACATACTCATTGTCATTGTATTAATGAATAAAAAAGTTAATTGCAGAAACGTTCTGACTCACCGATGAAAACTTTCGTATTAACATTGAGAAAAAATGCAATAAAACGTAAATCACTAAATATGGTTCAGTACGAGACTTCAAAACTTTGGTATTTATTAATACATCCAGATGGCGTTACTATCTTGGAGACAAAATCAAAACAAATCGTTGTCAGAATACTGAACATATGAAACACAGGTTGGCCACTCTGGTAACGTGTGATCTGTGGTTGTTTTCAAAGATGGAAATTTGTTTTGGGAATGAATAATATATGTACATTTAATATATTTTTGGAGGTTAATGTCATGATTATGGAGCTCACTTATAATTTACTAAAAATTCAATTATCCGACGATATGGACACTACTTAATGAATGCTGTTTGACAATTGATGTAACGAAAAGGCTGATATTTTTAATGGGTAAACGTACGGACACAAGTACAGAAGACGAGCTTAGTGTTGGTATGTGAAATGTCGAAATCAATGGTTCTATATTCATCTTGGGCAGTGATATAAAATGTTATTCTGTCATCTGTGTTGATCTATTGCACATAACCATTTTATGGTACATAATCCAACAAATATTTCCTAGGTATAAAGAAACAAAAAGTTTGTATTATTTTTTCGCTCATCAGTTTTGGCTCTCGGTGGAGTGTATGAATTTAAGGAGACACAGCTTCTTATCACTGAACAATATGGCTTTTTCTTATTATAACTTCGTGGTTGGCTTACAGTTGCACTTGGTCCATCACTGATAGGTAGCTAAAGGAAAATTAAGGAATGGATGTCACTCCAGCTGTGTCTTATTTTGGAGATCGTGGGTTTGTATCTTATTCTGGATACCACCCCTGTGACTTTCCTCAGTTCCACAAAGCAGATACGGGGATAGGGCCCTAAAATAGGTTAGGACTACCCCTTTATAGCATTCTCAATTCACAGCCATTATTACACAACTTATGAAGTTGATGAAACAACTGTAATGAATCAATAATAATCATAATTTTGTTACTGTCATAATGAAATTGTATGTTTTGCAGATATGAATGAGTTTCCACTACAGATGAAGCATAAGAAACATAAGCATAAAAAACATAAAAAGAAGAAGCTATTAGATGAAAGTGAGGGTTCGCAGGACTTGTCATTTGATGATGCTGATACAAGCAAACCAGCTCTTAAGTTAAAAATAAAATTTGGAACAGAAACAGGAGATAAAGGGTGTGTATTTATTACTTAATCAAGCTATTCTGGAAACATGTTTTTATGTGTTATTTATATTTTAAATGTGAGCAGAATCAGTAATCTATCCTGAGTCTTTTAACTAGGGCCTCATTTGATAGTTTAACATAGCATCATAACCAAATAAACATTAAGTGAAACAATAATTTATTTATGCTTATAAAAATGTCTTACATCAAGCATGATGTGCCCTAGTGTCATCTGTCATTGCATTATTTGTTGTAATTTATGTTGTAATTTATATCTGTGTTGCCCAGTGAACCTTTAATCAATTAACAAATTTATGTGAAACTTGGCAGGGTTAATATGCGTGCCACTATGACCAATCATACCTTTATAATAAATAATATCAAATTTGCTGTGATCATGGCCTTGGAAATTTCTGAGGTTTGTAATTGGAATGGCAATAGTGTCACTTAAAGGCAGGTCCTGAAATTTGATGTAGATTGTAAATAATAACATAGCATTTGTGCGAAATCTGTATTTAATTTCTGGTTTAATGTTCATAATTAGTGAACCATTGGAACTCAGCATGTGATCTGTCAAAATGAAGGCATATTAAACATTTCTGCAAATTCTGTGTGCAATATATTTTATATGCAAAAAGTTATTAAAAAGTTGGAATCTGCTGCAGTGGAAATTATGCTCAGGAATGGTGCACTAAAGTGAAAATATTGAAGTTACAGTTTCTACTAGCTTTGCCTTGCCTGGAGCACCTGGATGAAAGAAGATGTTACACATTTTTCACAGATATTTTTGTTTCTGTATTAGCTTGTTTATAACTTACTGAATATATTTTATTTTTATATGTTTATTTGAAGTGTGAAGATTTCTGGTGATGGTGTGTTATAATCTATAAAAGTGGATTTTTAACACTGTTTGTATTTCAATAAAGTTACAACATTTCAGAAGCTAGATCTGTCTTCAGGTAAAACAGAAATGATAGAAACCCTAGACAATAGGTTCCCTGGTTGAGCTATCCTCAGACCTAGACTTGGAAATACAGATGATGGACTAAGTCCAAAATTCCAATTTTACAGATTACTGTATTCAGTTCTTTGAATTTCTTTTATGAAATGCTGACTTTAATATTTTTCCAGTGCTGGTCAGTCAAGTTCTGCTGACAAAATGAGAGACAAGGGATCTCCAGCTAAGTTAATGGATAGGTCAGGGCAAGTGGGATCCTCTCCTAAGGCATCAAAGAAGAAAAAGGGTAAAGGCAAGGATAGTGGGACATCAAGTGAAGAAGAAAGGTGGTTGGATGCAATTGAATCTGGTAAACTAGAAGAGGTTAGTTAGTTCTGCTAGTTTTTCGTCGTGTTCTTATATGGGTTATTGAAACTAGACCAAGATAGTTTACTATGCAACTTACATTTTGCATTGTAGCAGGCCCAGATTTAGTTTAATTTGCCTGTTTTGTAATGACTGTGGTGAAAGAATGGTAGTATGAATGGATCCTTGCACTATTAGCTCAGTACCAATATTTATCATCTGCAAAATAATTAATTAGTAAAGTGTCTGGCTGTGAATTGGATGGCCAGGTTTTAATTCCCATCAGGGATGGCATATTATTCTGTGCCACCACCACATTCAGACTAGCTATTAGCTCACTCATTGGGTACCAGGGGCTCTTTCCTCAGGCAACAACTTGTTTGTATCTCCAGCTTTATGCTTACATGAGAATAGTCTTGTTTTAGCTGGTTTGACATTAGTAAGAATGTCAAAGAAAGAGGTAAGGATTATATTTTTCTAATTTCTGTACTGTATTACCAATATCCTTAATATCAGCTTATCTGACATTATTTATATGTTATCCCACACACTTATGATTTTAAGATCATTATAAATTTTTTGTACCGGGGTCCTTTCCTGGGGGTAAAGTGAGGCTTGGACGTGATGCTGACCACTCACCCCAATCTAGTGCTGAGGTCAAGCACCTACATGGCATATAGTGGGACAGCTTTACTTTTACTTCATAAATTGTTTGTGAGTGGTAGAAACTAGTTCACATGAATGTCACAAATTTGCAAATATTTGGGAATGACAATAACAGGTCAAAATAATAAATAATCATATGAAATTATATAAGAGCAGATTAAATATGGTTACTGCCTGCTATCATTTCATATGATTTTTTTTCTCCTGATTTTCTCTAAGTGCGTAAGTACAAAAATACATAAACCTCTTCTTGAACTTATTATTTTATGTGATGTGAAAGTTTGGCTCTTACTCTGAGGGAAGAATATTTGTTTGAGAAGAAAGTAGTGATGAGGATATTTTAAATTATTAAATATGAAGTAAGAGAATAATAAAAAATAAAGCAAGAACTTCACAGTTATACACCGTTTAACATTGGTAGGGCAATAAGGTTGAGGAGAAGATTAGTGGGACATGTGGCACATATGGGGGAAAATTGAAAGGAGGTCATTGTGTAGAACTAGGCATAGATAGAAGGATAATATTAAAATTAATCATGGATAAACAGAATGTGAAGATTTAAACTGCCTCAGGATGGGAATCCAGTGGAAAGGTCTGTGAATATAGTTATGACCCTTTGATTTTTAGAAGAACAGGAATCCTTGACCAGCTGAAAATCTGTCAGTTCTTCAATGAAGAGTATGCATCCTGGTATTAGTTACCATATGTCAATCTGCTTGTTGCATTCTTGAGGATGGAATAAGAACATGAATTCTGGACTTATAATTTTATGTTTGTCATACATTTATAGTGATTTTTTCTTTTTCTTTTATTGTTTCTGTTTTCATTTATTGTATAGATGTGTAGGTTTATTTATTACTGTTTGTGAAGAACAATTTAAAATTTTCCTTCATACCTTTACTCTTTTTTAAGAAACATCGCTTTGTATGAAACTCTTTGCCCTGCAGGTAGATGATGAACTGAAAAAAATCAAACCTAAAGATCCAAAATTGATGACAGCTCGACAGAGAGCCATGTTTGAGCGAAAAACAGACAAGGAACCAAGTCCTGGAGGAGAACAGCTTCTGGCTCTGCCATCAGGTAAACTTACTGGAAATTTCTGATATTAGTGATGTGAAACTGAGTCTTATAACATATTTTATTGTAGTGTCAATAAAATCCTCTTAGGCAGTCTGCTACATCAGTTGGTTGTAGGAAGAAACTGATGTTTTGGGAACCATCTCCTTCCACAATCATCAGGGTTCTGTTGTGAGTCGATGCCTTGAACATCTGTATATACCTGCCCAGGACTGGTGTTCGTGGCTGGACCAAAGCCAAGCAGAACTAGTAGGCTGAGTCAAGTACTTGTGAAGTATGGCCTTGCTTTATTATTGGTGTTTTGTCAGACTGCTTGAGCATATTTGTCACAGTACCAAGCTCAGTGCAAAACTAAACCTCCGTCCCTATTGAAGTTGTTCGGATGCACTTTTACAAAGTGGTCCATGTATCCTGTTACTTTCTCTAGTAGGGATATAGATCATCTTTATAGGTTTAGCCAGCAGTCTGCTGATCTTGTTTGTGGTACAGTGCTGGTATGGAAACATGGCTACACTGGCCGGCTCCACACACTGCAGCAGTGGCATGTCTTTAGGATAAATTACTTGATTAATCTCATAGTTGCTATATCCATTTTGCCTGAAGGTGTTCCTGAGGTGCTCCATTTCACTCCCAAGACTTTCAGTGTCGCAAATGCTGCTCTCTTTTGATCTGGATGGTGTTTGGTCTTTGCATGGATGTACAGGTCTGTGTGCAGAGGTTTTCTGTGTACTGTATGTCTAAGTGAACCATCTGCTTACTTAGACATCCAAGAATGTAAGACCGAACGTTGTGGTCAAGTACAGTCCACAGACCAGGAGAAAATCCCTGCTAGGAATTCATTAAACGCGCATGCGCAAGATTTCGCGGTGAGTGGCAACCCATCCTAAAAGCCTTACTCCAGACAAAATCCGGGATAGTACCTTAAATTAGGCGACTACTGCATCCTTCCACATCCTTTCTAATTCATTGTTCACTGTTATCCTCTCATTCAAGGCTATATAGTCTGAGCTGCTGAAAATGCATTCTTAAATAAGTTATAAATTAATAAATAAACAAGAACAGAAGTAACCTGTTATGTTCCACCTCCATCATGAACTTGATGTTAGGATGTGGCTGATTGCCCAAGAGGATTTTATTGAGTTTAATTGCCATAAAAGCTTCAAATCGTACTTTATTGTGATGTCTTTGAATCCCCCCCCACCTTCCATTCCTACAATTTCAGAAGAGCTGCTTTGATTTATTAGATCAAAAATATGATGACAAATGGGAACAACTTGATGTTTTTTCTTTATTTTATATGAATATAAATGCTAGATTTTAACCGACAGGCACAAGTATCTTAATCATTTACAAAGACTGGAAAACAACTGAATTTCAAAACAGTTTAGTTGTACTGTTTTGGGCCAGGAATATGTGATGAAACAGAGATGAAGCAGACATATTTGATTGAGATTGTTTGTTTTGACTTTCATTTATGGGTGGATCCGTTACCTATATATTACCCTGACAGGATTTTGTGGGTCTTTTCAGTCATTCATGCAAAGTTTGATTTAATATTTTAATATGGTCACAGTTTTTTTCTGTTGCTTCATATTCTTGCTGTTTATCATTTGATTGCATGGAGCAGAGGCCTTTTGATAAGCTGATGGTAGTTGATTTGGTAAAGGACTTCCTTGCATTTATGGAACATAAACATTCATTATTGTGTCCATACCTGGTACCAGACCATAACCTGATCTTATTTAATCCAGTCCACACCCTCACACTGTTTTTCTAAGTGTCATTTTAATATTGATGTGCCATGTGTTCCAAGGCTCCCAAGTGATGGCTTTACTTTACAAAATACTACCAAATTTTTGTATTAATTACTTACTTGTGTATTCATGCTGCATGTCTAGTCCAATCTCATTGTAATAAGAACACAACAAAAGCCAGACATGTTATAAATACTTTGTTTTGAAGATATGATAGTCCTTTGGTTAATATTTTCTGTGTGTGTGTATCATATTGAAATTCAACAGACTGTTGTATGTGAGTTTTCAGTTTCTTCTATGGCAGAAATTTTGAAGGCAGCTTCGATTATGTCCGTGTTTATGATGAGCCATAGAATCATAACATTTGGTACTCTTTGATTTTCTTAGATGACAGATGAATCATATTTTTATGTTTTAGTGTATTCAGAACAGTTATGTAATTGGTAGTTCATTTAGTTGTGGAAGGCACATAATTAGTGTGTCAGATCAGAGTCTTCCAGATATTTCTTCCATGTACCATTTTGATCAAGTAGGTATTAATACAACTTCTTCCCAAATGCAAGTGCAGACATTAAAGAAGTCAGGTTTTATGCAGCAACAAAAGATAATAGAAACTAAAAGTTAGGTTTTATTTGTTTTTGTTTTTTTCCTTATTCCTTTTCTTTACTGAAATTATTTATGTTATTCTTACTGAAATTTGCTACATATTGGGTATATTACCAGCTAGCTGAATTCTCATGTTGGGTGCAATGTCCTTTATTCAGGGTCTTTCATGCACAGGTTTGTTGTGGCAAAGAGGAGTAGCTTTCACTATCAGTAAAACTCTTTATAATATAACTGAAAACCATAATCAGAAGCTCATATTCTGTTTTTGTAAGATTCTGTTTGAACTATAGCCAACTTTCACAGTTAGAGTTTTAATAGAAAATTACTTCTTATGTAAGAATTTATACTGAGATCTACCATTTCATAAATTTATTCCCAGATGCCCAGGAAGTAACAGGGGATGACAAAAATTGCATAACAATTTTCATAATTTATGTGGTCAACCAAATTTTATGGTGGAATGAATGAGTATTAGATGGGCAGAACATGATTTGCAAATAGGAGAGATAAGAATTTAATACATTATGTTAGTCACAAAATTACTTTGGAGACTTAGATGTAGATAGCAGGACAACATTAATAGAAACTATTATTGAGAAGTTGAGAGAGTATAAATCTCCGAGTACTGATCAGATTCCGGCCAAATTGATCAAAGCAGGGGGCGAACGTTGCATTCCGTGGTACACAGACTTTCTCACTCTTTATGGAATGAGGAGGAAATTCCACAGCAGTGGAAGGAATCCGTTATTGTGCCAGTTCATAGAAAGGGTGATAAAACTTTAGTGTAATAATTATCGAGAAGATTTCCTTTTATCACCTGTTTCCAAATTTTATCCAGAATTCTTCTGGCGAGGCTAACTCCTTATGCCAGTGAAATTGTTGCGGATCATCATTGTAATAGATCTACAACTGATCTACATTCACCAGATACTAGAGAAAAAGTGGGAGTACAGTGGGACAGCCCATCAACGATTTATAGACTTCAAGAAAGCCTATAACTCAGTTAAAAGAGAAGCTCTTTGCAATATTTTGCTTAAATTTGGTGTACCGAAGAAGCTAGTCAATCTAATTCAAATGTGTTTAAGTGAAGCCTCTAGCAAAATTTGATACATTTCCTGTTCAGATTGGCGTGAAACAGGGAGATGCCCTATTGCCACTGCTTTTCAATTTTTCCTTAGAATGTGCAATCAGGAAAGTCCAAGAAAATCATTGTGGTTTGGAACTTAATGGGACACATCAGCTTTTGGTGTATGCTGACAATATTAATCTGTTGGGTGATAATATAAGTACTATAAAAGCAAACACAAAAACACAGCTATTACAAGACCTTGACCACTTGGGTACATGCAGCTGTAAGCTGTTTAGAAGCAAATTTGTATTACTGTGGCACATGAAACACCATGCTGAAGCTGTACTACAGGGTATTAAAAAGTCTCTGCCACTCTAATCAACCAATTTCTGAATATTTCAAAGAATAGAAACAAGAGATCATATTGGAAAATGTATACAAACTATGCTGTCAGGGTGACTGTTTTGCAATTCAGGTATGGGAAAAATTTATTCATCTGTAATAGCTTATATTTTCTTTGAAAATTCTAGACTAAAAACTGCAGTGAATGGACTACAATTTATTTAACAATTTCTGCCATTAAAAGCTATTAAATGTCAAAATATTCCAGCTGCCAAGATAAAAAGGATTTAAGTACCCTCTAGCAAAATTTGATACATTGCCTTTTCAGAATGGCCTGAAACCGGGAGATTCTCTATCACTGCTGCTTTTAAATTTTGCCTTAGAATATACCATCAGGAAAGTCCAAGAAAAACAGAGTGGTTTGGAATTGAATGGGACTCATCAGCTTTAGAAGTTTGCTGATGATATTAATCTGTGGGCAATGATATAAATGTTATAAACGCAAACACAAACACTTCTAAAGGGTACTAGTGATGTTGGTCTAGAAATAAATGCAGAAAAGACAAATAACATGTTAATGTCTCGGCATAAGAATTCAGCAAAGAACCAGAATATGCGGATAATTAATGAATTGTTAAAAAATGTGACAAAATTTGAGTACTAGGGAACAACACCAACAAGTCAGAATGATGCATTTAATGAAATCAACAGCAGATTAAATTCAGGGGATTCTTGCTGTGATTCATTCCAAAATGTTTTGTCCTCCCATCTCATATCAAATAACTAAATATTAAAATATACATAAGTTTAATTTTGTCAGTTGTGCTGTGTGGGTGTGAAACTTGGTTCCTCACTTTGAGGGAGGAACACAGATTGAGGGTCTTTTAGAACAGAGTGTTGAGAAGGAGAAAATTGCATAATGATGAGCTTCATATCCTGTACTCCTCACCTGATATTGTTAGCAAGATTAAATCAAGGAGGTTGAAGTGGGCTAGACATGCAGCAGGCATAGGTGAGGGGAGGGGTGTTTACAAGGTATTGGTTGGGAGGCCTGAATGGAGGAAGACTGCTGGGAAGACTTCGGTGTAGGTGGGAGGATAACGTTAAGATGGACCTTAGGAAGATAGAAATCAATGAGCTACCTCAGGATAGAGTCTGGTGGTGGGCTTTTGTGAACGCAGTGATGAACCATGAAGAAAGTGGGCTATTATTTGACAAAAGGAGCATGCAATCGACTTCTCAAAGAATTTCCTGTACCATAAAGTGAGTAAGTGAGGATAATATTAAAATGGACCTTGGAGAATTATAATGTGAATGTGTGGCTGGATTCACCTGCCTTGGGATAGGGTCCAGTGGTGGTGCTTGTGAACACATAATTAACTTTTGTGTCACATAAAACATGGGAATTTTCAGGACCAGATGAGCTACTATTTGCTTCTCAAGAAATATTCTGGCAAGTGGAGTGAGTTACAATAGGTTTTGCCAGATGACTTGTTTATTTGTAACCTTGAAAATTGTTGGATTCTCCTAATTCTGAATTTCCTGTAGGTTACAAGGAAAAAGTCATGACAGCTGAAGCAATACAGAAGGCTGCACTGAAGTCTCAGAAACGAAAACAATTGGCTGATGAGAAGAGGGAAAAGGACAAGGTAATATGATGTTTGTTTGGTAAAGACTCATTATAAGCTGCTACAGCTTGTACATAGAACACAACTAATACGGATTGGTAAACTGCGTATGTAAGCTTAATAGGGAAGTTCTAGTACAATAATCCTGTTTTATGGCAATACTTCTGGGTAAAAATTCACCAGTTAACAGTAATATTGGCATATGTTGTTATGCTACTCCCAACACTATCATTTTCGTACTGTTGCCATTTGCATTCTTGCTCACATTTTCTAAAGTTCTGGGACTTACCATGCACCTTTCTTTTGATGGTCTTCCAGGTATGCTTATGTGGATGCTATTACATTTTTAATTCAAATAGTCACTCAGTTTCTTATGGAATTATCAGTGTTTAACAGAACCTGAAAGTACGTTGTAAGAGACTGCTACTGGATCCTGTCTTTAACCAGTTGAATCCAGTCTATATCCTTACAATCTGTTTCTGTAAGATCCATATTAATATTATCTTAATATGTACCAAATTATAAAGCTCGTGGTGCGGTTTACTTTGTGCTCCTCTTACTTCCTCTGTGTTAGGTCCTAGTACACTTATGTGCACCCTGTTTTTATACACCATCAGTTCATGTCTTCCTTTAAGGCAAGAGACAAACCATATGAAACAATTAGTAAAATTATTCTTTTATGTATTCTAATCTTTACATTTTTAGTAATGTGTGATAAGACATAAAGATTCTGAACTGAGTGGTAGTAGGCATTGCCCATATTTAACCTGTTCATAATGTTTTTGTGATCGAAATTTCTTGTTATTGTCATTCCCAATTATTTGAACTTTACTGAGATCTTGAAGGTTCTCCTCTGTTCTGGCTATGAGCCTTGATCATATTCTTTTTAACATTAAAGTTACTATTATTGTTACTGCATTTTTGGACATTGTCCATTGTCTGCTGTTTTATATTTAAATCTATGTGCATAACCACAAACTCCTATGGTTTGCAGTGCTTTTGCCTCTATATCCATCATATATTTATCACACTATATATCACTCAAATACTTGAGAGATATTTTAGAATTACCAAGACATTGTTTTTAGCAATGAATTTTGGACAACTAAGAAGTATGATGCCATTGTAAAATTTCTTGAAAGTTGGTTGTTTTTGCCAACGTAACAGATATGCAGCACTTAGTGAATGAACTAGGGTTGCTTAGTCAGTATAGTGTCTGACTACAGACTGGATGACCAGGGTTCGATCTCCAGTAGGGGCTAAGGATTTTCTTCTAGCCCCTGCATCCAGAATGGCTCTGGGATGCACCCAGCCTCCTATCCAATGGTACTGGAACCCCTCTTCTTGGGAATAAAGTGTGGCTGGGGCATGACGCTGACCACTCACCCTCGCATCTAGTGCAAAGGTCAAGAATGAGTTGGAGCTATACCTCCTCTCTCCAAGTGCCTCCATGGTGTGTGGTGGGACAGCTTTACTTTAACAATAGACTATCATAAATCTCAACCATACCTTGAGAATCATGAGGCTCCCCTTGCCCCTAACTCTGTACCTACCTCTGCTAAGTAATGTATGTGGTTTCACGTATGGTACATTTCAGATACTGAAAGGTTGGGAATACAAAACTCAGTGAACTATAAAATTTGTGATTTTAGAAAAAAACCATGGAGAGGTTGCTAAAGAAACAGGAGTCAAAGTCTGGGAAGAGCAGTAACAGATCACGATCTGCTCGAAAACAGGTTCCTCGGGTGACGTACCATAATACTGTGGATGGTATTAGCATATCACTCCCTTCAGGTGTGGATTTCTCTCTCCATTCACAGACTACTACAGAGTAAGTAAGGACTTGTTGTTTGGCTAGTTGAGCATGGGTTCATTTTACTCTGTGTGTGGGTGTCTTTGTAATTCATTATGTTATTGTGTGATAGGTATTGTAAAATAATTATGTTGTCTGAAAGTTGGTGCATACAAAACACAATAAGTTACTGCCATTAAAAGTGAATGTCTCAGTAAAGTGATGTGTTTAGATTTTAAATAATTTCCTTGGAAATGTTCCTCCTTCACATCTTCTGAATGGTAGATTCTAAGGGGGGATAGAAAGTTTATTTTCTCCCATGTGTTTGGAAATCATATGTACAGCATGAAAACTTAGTGTTGAACCCTCTAGTATAACACAATCCTTTTCTTTATAACTTTTTTTTCTTTAATTGTGGGATGCACGACTTTGGTTTCTATTCTTGTAGCAACTTTTCCTCTCATACCTTGTTTGACAATCTGACTACACAGAATGAACTGTTGTGGAACAGTAAGGTCTGAGAGAATGGGAGTGCCATGTCATATGATATGAACAAACAGACAATTGAAACATGGTGTTTCCATGTTCATCATAAAAGTTGCCTTCTGCTGTTGGTGGATTGTGTGCGTTTCTCGGCACATCATATTTACCTCTGCAGACCATTGCTGTCAAGTCATCTCTTGTTTTGGATCAAAACATCACCATGTTTCAATTGTCTGTTGACATATGACATGGCATTCCCATTCTCTGAGGCCATACTGTTCCATAACAGCTGATTCTGTTCAGTCAGATTGTCAAACAAGTTATGAGAGGAAAAGTTGCAAGTGTACAGTCCATGTATTTCTACCTTTTTTGTAAAGTGCTTTACTATAATGTGTGTTATGTCATGTCTGCGGTAGCTCATGTTCTGTCTTTCCCCGAAGACTTCCATGCCATGTGTATAACCAGTCTTGTCACAGAGTTTATACATTTTGATTCCAATAAGTTTGTCTGAAACTTTTTTTTTTTTTTGGAGAAGTATTAAACTTTGTTTATAGCCAGATGTCAAAAGTAGTATAATGTTCTCAGTAGGCATTGTTTAATAAACCACAGACATTAATGAGTTTCCATAGTCTGCCATAGTTTGGATCTTTTGGTCAGTGGCACTGTCATTGTTTGAACAGTGTAGGAATACACAAAAATGCTTTGTGGAGTGGTCCTTGTTGATATGGGTTGTGACATTCTGTCTTTTGGCTGGTATGTTACCATGTATTTTGTTGGCTTACTGTCTCCATCATTAGGGCATCCTGAAGGTAGAGGCAGTTAGAACCTCTGAAGCCTTGATTAACTTCTTCCCCCTTTGCATTGATGTCTTCAGTTAGATCTTGGCACATTTTGTTTCAGGAAATCTGTACTTGTACCAGTGCCATGTGGAGTGGAAGGCTGCACCAATATGAAAAAATATTGCTGTTCCAAAACTGGATTGCCATTGTGCAGTCTTGAGTGTTATCAGAAGAACATTGCAACAGTAAAAAATTGAAGTTAAAACTGTACATTTTAAGTTCTCTTCATTACATGCTCTCCGTTTCATAAATATGATTCATAAATTATGTTTCATACATAACAGTAATGCATTTCATATTCTTACTTATTTTCACACCTTTCTTCCACCTCCAGCTTCTAAGGTTGATGTCATCTGTTAATAATATGAAAACATTCAAACTCAATTTAATCGGTATGAAGCTCCTTTTACATTGTCACATGCACATCATTATAAAGTGCCTTCCAGTATGTTATCTCAAAACTTATAGATAAACTTTACAAAATGCAAAATGATAGTTTTTTATAAATTGGAATTATAAATACTAAGGTGGTCCAGAGAAGAACTATTACTCCTGACACAAGGAAATGGGAGATAGGGGTTGAAGGAGACTGGATTTTGTTGGCTCATGACAGGGTCCGGTGGAGGGCTTTGGTTAATTCGGTGATGAACCTTCGGGTTCCGTAAGCCATCTGGTTGGTTGGGTCCACTATTTGGGAAGCCTGAGGGGAAGAGACCTCTGGGGAGACCTAGACGTAGATGGGAGGATAATCTGAGGCGGGATCTATGGGAGATAGGAGTTGAAGGAGACTGGATTTTGTTGGCCCAGGATAGGGTCCGGTGGAGGGCTTTGGTTAATTCGGTGATGAACCTTCGGGTTCGGTAAGCCATCTGGTTGGTTGGGTCCACTATTTGGGAAGCCTGAGGGGAAGAGACCTCTGGGGAGACCTAGACGTAGATGGGAGGATAATCTCAGGCGGGATCTATGGGAGATAGGAGTTGAAGGAGACTGGATTTTGTTGGCCCAGGACAGGGTCCGGTGGAGGGCTTTTGTTAATTTGGTGTTGAACATTCTGGTCCCGTAAGCCATCTAGTTAGTTAGTTAGTGATTATATATTGAAAATTCCGTCCTTGTTATATTAATCACTTTGTAACTTGGCCTTCATTAGGTCTTGCCTTCAAGTCATATGACATACTGGTGACACTTCCCCTTTTGTGGAAGCCATTTCACTTTACACCTGCAACTTCAATTTTTACGAAGTCAAGAGGAAAAGAAGTTGTTTTTTTCCCCTAATATTAATTTACTATAAGAAAACATTCAGATGACATGGAAATTCCTTCAAAAACATCGAAAATGATTAGTCAGTAAATATATGATCGTAATTCATAAAACAGTACAGAACAATCATAATTTGATAGTAATTAATTGTGTTTTCATCACACTAATGAACAGTGACCACTACCTTGATGATGGAGGCTCAAAGTTGCTGCAAAATGATGGTAACGACCTACAAGACTATAGGGCTTTGCAATCTAGCAGATGAAGAGTAACATTTTCACCACCATGAAAACCTGAAATGAATTGGTCACTTGCGAAACCATATGAATGAATCTACTTTTTGAGGCAACTGAGCTATTGCTGCCATGACAAAAAATTGAAGTAAATGCTCAGCTTCCCACAAGAACCACTTCAAAGTCTACTGTGCCTGGGCAGCCTTATCTATCACCTGTATTTTGTCAAAACAATATAGTGCCAAAATGTTATTTTTTACTAGGTTTTGGTTTAGGCTTTAAGCCTACAGAGACCACTGAAACCCACAGTGACATAACCGCATGAATCATGACCTGTTCCTTTGCAATTACTTGTATAAACAACTCTAGACGTAAAATGGTTGGTGAACTATTACCTGTCTCCAAAAAATAGTATATACTTGCCACTTATTTTTGTGGGGAAAAGCATAAATAAATGTTTACTAGCGTTTTTTTTTTCAAAGTGAGGTTTATGGATTCATGTGGTTTTGCAAATGACCGATTTAAATCTAATATAACGAACAGTACAGTCATTATTACTCTACACAGGGACAAAACATTTCTTGTATTTTGTTAAAATAGGCACATTGTATGATGAAAAATACTTTCCGAATGAAACTTATTCATCTTCATGATGAAAACATATAGCCCACATGTTGCAGATTCTGTCAAGAACACTGCTATAGCAGCATTATTGGTGCAATGTAAAAGGCCAAACAGTCTATACCAAAATGAAAGAAATTACTTCTCTAAATTAAGACACTAAATGTTTCTTGTGTAACGTTCAAGATCAAGCAAAATAAAGTTGATAAATTTCCCATACAAGAAATTTTCTACTTAAGATAACTGTAGGTAATGTACTTGGTATTCATATCTTAATAAGAGGACTATCATGAAAACTTACTTCATAGAGCATGGAGATTCTTCAGAAGCTAACAGTGCCCTCAGGTAGTTGAGAAATTCCCCATATTTTATTGAACCCAAAGATTGATTACCTGATTCACAAGTGTCTACCATTGGTCTGTCCTGAGCCAGATGAATCCATTCAACACCCCTAGCTCTGAGCCAGATGAATCCATTCAACACCCCCAGCTCCACTTTCCTAAGATCCATTTTAATATTATCCTCCCAGCTACACATATAGGTCTTCCCATTAGTCTTATAACTTGAGGTTTTCCAGAAAAAAATATATACTCATTTCTCATCTCACCTTGTGCAGTGTTTGTCTCCACCCATCTCATCCTCCTAGATTTTATCATCCAAATATTCTGTGGACAACAGTGGAAAGAATCAATTGTTGTCCCTATCCATAAATCAGGAGACAAAACTGAGTGCAGTAACTTCCGAGGTATCCCTCTTTTGTCAACATTTTATCGAATATTCTTCTGTCACGTTTAACGCCATTTATGAATGAAACTATCGGACACGATCAATGTGGATTCCACCGTAATAGATAAACACTTGATCAGATCTTTTACATTCGACAAATATTAGAGAAAAAGTGGGAGTATAATGGGTCAGTTCACC